CCCAAGCTTCGAAAAGGGCGGCATCGAAGCCGGCTACCGGCGATGGACGACCCGCCACTCGGCGAGACCGTGCTGTATTAGCGTCGCTGACCGAGACTCGATTCTTTTCTAATCGGAGAACAGCGACGGTGGTGTGCACTAGAACGCGGCGCGCATGATACTCTGTCGCCGCGGCGTGGCGGGGGCCACGGTCGGTGCAAAGACGGCGTAGCGACTGCCGTCATTGTCTTTTGAAGCAAGGACCTTGCGCGGCTTGCCACAGAGCACGCGCTTCTTCATGTCTTCGCGCGCGGCGTTGACGCGGTTCTTGAAGGTGGCACCGGTCGTGTAGCGCAAGAAGAGGTCGCCCGTGTGCGGGATACGTCCTTGGACCCAGCTCAGCGGCAGCTCCCACCCATACTGATCGTTGAAGCGCTCGTCGACCCAGTTTTCGCCTGGTTCAATGTCACCGAGCTGCGCCAGCATCAATGTGACTTGGTACTCTTCCCATACGCTCAAATTCAAGTGGTACTCCTGTACATGTTGACGGCTCGAGGTGTCCACTGGAATCGAGGGTAATACCATTTCGGCAAACATGGGGTTCCATAAGTTGAGCCAGCCAATGCGGTGGATGGCTTCCATGACGCTCTCGCGTGTCCAGTCGGTTGCCAGCGTCACGAGCAAGTCGTCGAGATCCAGCACGCGGTTAAGCAGCATGGCCACAATCTCGACGGGTCCGAACGCCACGTCATGAAAGCAGTTGGCGAGGCGCACCAACTGCGTTGAAGAAATGCCAAACGTGGCCTCCGAAAACGTTTGCCGCACCGCTATCAACGGTACATGACGCAATCTTGAAACACTGCACCATGGATAGATACCGAGCTTGCGATGCTCCAAGCCCGTGTCGGGATGCGGGGGGTGGACCACTTGTTTGGGTGGTTCGACCGCTTTCTTCCCGTAAACCTTGACGTGTGTCGGCGTCTTCTCGGGGGCGGCCGGAGCCGACGCGCGGGTCGTGACGGTCAAACAGAGTTGACCCAGCATCTACATTGTGTCCATGCCACTGGCCAATACAGAATATTAGGACGACACACGTCATCTGGAATCGCGGCACTGCCACGCGGGATCCGCGTCGTCACGACAAAGTCGAACGCAAACGTGCCGACGGACGGCAGGCCCTGGGCACGGGAAACACTGTATGGGGCGCCATCCAGTGTTTGGTTGCGAAAACACTCCCAGTTCCCTAGTCCCATCAGAGACATCAAAATAAATCGACTTTACACCCCTACCGTGCTGACTCGTGTTGAGGCCGACCGTCTTCTTGTTCTCGAGGCGGTCGTCGGCCGAGAGACGCAAGAGCGTCGATGCCAATCGCTTGTCGACGGACATGGCCAGGTCGAGCGCGTAGCGTCCGTTGGGAAGCCGTGGGTCAAAGAAGAGAAGTTTGCCTGCCCGTTCTTTCAGCACCGCCTGGTGTCGAATGTGTCGTGCGCGGTGGAAGAGCTCGGCCGTGTCAACGACCCGCTGCAATAGTCTAACATTCCCATCACCCATGCGTCTACGGACCGAAAAGCGACACGTACAAGGGCGCGACAAGGGCGTGGGCCTCCGCGGTAGTCATGGCTCCGAGAAGGTACTGCGCTTGGGACGCCGTGATGTAGTGGTCGTGTAAAAAGTGCTGGATGTACTTGGCGCGGTCCGAGTCAAACTCCAGCGCCGAGAAGGCTTGCCAAAACACAGTGACGGCATCTTTGTAGACAGATTGTCTACCGAAAATGGAAAGACATAGATAGGAAACGTACCCGGGGCAATCTCTGTCATGTATGGCACCTGCGGCTTGTACGTAAACTCAAAGCGTAGCCGACCGTGAAGGGGAAGTCGCCACGGCGTCTCGGTGCCGTCCAGCGCAAGCAGCTGCTGGATCGTCGTCTCGGCTCCATGGCTGCCACAAGTCGCTCGCTCGATGCGGCCAAAAATGAGCTTGGTGCTGCTCGTTGTGGTTGTGTAGGGTGGCAGCTGGTGCTGTACATCGCGCCACGACGCCGCCGACGGGTACAAATTCAGGAGCCAGAGGTACTCGAACCCGTGCCAGAACGAGTCCACATTGTCCAAATCAATCGTCATGTGGCCTGTATGGACAAAAATCGTCCATGATCGCGTCCTCGACTTTGGACGATGGGGTCGTACCGTGGTGCACGGGCGTGAAGCGTGCCGGCTCGGTATGCAAGCCGCAGTCGTCGAACTGCACGGTGCGGCCTTGGGTCATAGAGAGCGGGTCGCTGTACGCGCGAAAGACGGCGCGGAGCCCTTCCGTGCCAATCGGGTTTTGCGCAATGCATAGAATCTCGAGCGACGTCGAGTCGGCCCACGCGCGAACCAAACTCAATGCACTCAGCGCGCCCAGCGAGTTGCCCGTGAGGTCCAGCGCGTGCAGCGTCTTGTTGTGACGCAGAGAGAGCGCTAGCGCGTTGGCACCGCCGCCGCTCCCAAGGCCATTCCACGCCAGCTGCAGGGTTTCCAGCGTCGTATTGGTTGCGAGTGCGTGGGCGAGTGCCGCGCCTGTCCTTGCGCGGAGACAGTTCCAGGACAGCTCGAGCAGCGTCAG